AAGTTTAGTATAAAAGTGTTGAAAGGCTTCCATGATGTCCGGGAGGGTGTGGGATAAGGTGCCAGTCTGTGTCTTGATTTTGGAGATGTACGTGTTTTGCCTGGACTTTCGTAGGGCATTGGCAAGTAGTTTGCCACATTTGCCTCCCTTTGTATAGTAGGAGTGCCTGGTATTTAAGAGCTTTTTCTTGGCCTGTTGTTGCAGTAATTGCGTCAGTTCTGTGTGTTTGGCTATGAGGATGTTATAGGTCGATAGAGAACTGTCCCAGGTATGGGTGTGCTCAAGGGTTCTAATTTCCTGTGTGAGTGTGTCTATTCTCTGTGTTCTTTGTTTTTTCAGAGTGGCCGCAATTGCTAGAAATTCCCCCCTTATGACACATTTGTGCGCTTCCCAAGTGGTCATGGGGGAGATGGTTGGAAGCGTGTTCTCTTGGAAGTAATTGGTGAGTGTGGTTTCCACTCGCATTGTGACTGTGGAGTCATTAAGGAGAAAGTCATTAAGCTTCCAATGAAAAGACGTTAATGGGAGCGTAGGGATTTGTATGGCAAGAGACAGGGGTGCATGATCCGACCAAGTGATTGGGCCATAGGTGCAGGAGATGGCCAAATGCAGGTGATCTTGGGGAAGGAACATCATGTCTATCCTGGAGTATGAGCGTGAGGCCGAGGAGTAGAAGGAGTAGTCTCTAGCTTGGGGATGTGTAGTCCTCCAGCAGTCAATTAGTCTAGCCTGGTCACGGAGGTGTGTTATACGTTTCCTTGCAGCGGTCTGATATTGTGTGGAGTGGGAGGTCATGTCAGGGCGGAGTCTAGGGATATATTTAGGTCACCACCCATGATTAGCATGCCTTCCATAAAAGGTTCAATTATGTGGAGGTATTTCTTGAGGGCCTTACCTTGGTGTCGGTTGGGTAGATATAAGTTAGCAAAGGTAAGTATGGTCTGGCCTATCTGGCCCTTTACTAAGAGCAGTCTGCCCCCATCACCAGTTTTTTTTGTGATCCTTGTATGTGAAGGGGGTGTGTGCTGAAAAGAGTATGGCTACCCCCCTGGCCTTGGCATTACTGTAGTTACTGAAGAATTCTGTGGGGTATACCCTGCTCTTGAGAGTGGGTGATTTGTCTTTTTTAAAGTGGGTCTCTTGTAGAAAGACCACGTCAGCTCGTAGTTTGTGCATATCTGTGAGGGCTATGGATCGTTTCTCAGGGGTGTTAAGGCCCTTGACATTAAGGGTGACTATTTGTATGGTAGCCATCTGGTCTGGGTATGTTTATGAGTGTGCCAATAAAATTATTTCTCTCACAGTGAAGAATGTCTGTGGGGAGGAGGGGAGGAAGGGGGGTTCGGTCACTGGGAAGAGGAAGCAAAAAACACAATAATTAACTTATATACAAACTAATACTCTATGAGTAAATCGAATTAGTAACTGTCCCCTGAGACTACGAGGAGGCGCAGGCTGAACACACGGCATCAGCCAGCAGTCTGTGGGGATAACCTCTGGTGTCGGACCCAGAATGGAATGTCGCCACCTGGGACGTTCGTGACACCGTGGTGTAGGTCGTGTCGACCTAGTACAATGAAAGTCGTCGAGTAATCATACGTTAATATTTAAATATTAGATGAGGAGCGGAGGTGGTCTCGGGCAACTGATGTCAACCAGTGACTCCCGTGAAAGAGCAGAAGGAGTATCAGTCATCAACAGTCGCCGCCAGAGCACAGATCCGCATATATATTCCACAACACATCAAGTAGATAGACATAGTTGGTAAGGAGACTATAGAAACATATTAAACAACGTTATTCTATTTTTTTGTTTGTTTGTTTGTTTGTTTTTTTGTTTGTTTTTTGTGATATGTTGATGGTCAGTCTAAACTTCTTTTAGTGGGCCAATAGGTAGGATCCCAGTGATGCGCAACAACTACTTGCTGCCAGCTTAGTTATTGGGATGGCATATTGGGGGGAAAGATAGGTGCATTAAATCAGGGCTATATATTAGCAAACTATGCCACTATTGGGGATAGCCAGTTCTGTGAGAGAATAGGAGAGGTTGCCCGGTTCAATGCTGTTCTCGAAGAAGTTAAGAAAATTGGGACAGTTGACAGTTGGCTAAAAGTGTAGCTATTAGGGGTTGGCAACTAGAACATCGCTGCTCTATATCATAACAGGGGGAAGGTCACCACATAGCAGTTTGAGCGTAGCGGTTTATGGATACAGTCACCTGGTACTTAGAAGTGTCATGAGAGCCTAGGAGGACGGTGGCCCCGAGAGATGTTACCAAGTCTCTAGCAGCGTAGTAGAGGTGTCCGGTTCAGCAGATCCCCTTAGCAACCTGGGGTAGGCTTCATTCAGCAGCTGGCGTCATGGAGGTATTAGCTGATGGTGAGGTGATGGGCCCTATAGCCCTAGCTGGCAGCAGTTTGTGCTGTGTGCGCAGAGTCGGAATCCATTGAGTGTTGCGCTGGGTCTTGGTTGTCTGTTCTCTTCTTCTTGGGTGTTTGTTGCCATCGGGATTTCTGCGGCAGCTGAGGTAGAAGTGGCGTTTGCAGCGGTCCATGCCAGTCCGGGATATGTAAGTCTGTTAGGTCGAGAGCTTGTGTGAAGAGTAGTATGTCCGCGTGGGAATGTATCGTGTGCTGGGTGCCTTTGTATGTGACACTCAGTGCTAGCGGGAATCCCCACCGGTATCTCAGGTTCCTGGATCTCAATTGATCTGTTATAGGTCGTAGGATCCGTCTCGCTTGGAGGGTCAGCCAGGAAAGGTCAGGGTAGATGGTTATTGGAGCGTCATGAAACAGTAAAGGTTGTGAGGTCTGTTTTAGAGTGTGCAGTATGTCTTATCTGCAAGTGTGGTAGTGGAGTCTGCAGATGACGTATCTGGGCTTGTCAGTCGCTACACCTCTGGGTTTCAGTGCCCTGTGAGCTCTATCTAGCAAAATGTGATTGTCTCTGGGCTTACCTAATATTAAGTTGAAGAGTTTGTTTAGTGTCAGGTAGATATCTTCTTGTTCATTTTCTGGGAGACCCCAGATCCTCAAATTGTTGCGGTGCCCCCTGTTGTCCAGGTCATCAATAGACCTATGGAGTGTGGACAGGTAGGTATTCTGATGCTCCACAGCTACCTGCAAGGAGCTCAGTTGTGTGTGCATGGTATCTCGGTCATCTTCCAGGGAGACTACCCTGTCAGATACTTGGCAAATTTCTGAACTAAACGCATCCATTTTGGCCTGGACTGAGGCCTCTAGCCGGGTCAGCATACCTGCAATGTCCTGCTTGGAGGGCAAATTTCGCAGGATGTCCTTCAGGTCTCCGTCCGTCGGAGGGCCCGAGTTTTCTGAGTCTGCCGGGCTGGAGGTGAGGAGTCTGCCGCCATATTGGGGCCTATCGCGCCCGCATTGCTGTCCGCCCGGTCGCGGAAATATTTGGTAAAAACGCTCGATTTCCCGGACGGGGTCTTGCTGGGGGCTTGCTGAGAGGATGTAGCTCGCTTTGGGTGACCCATCTTTAGTTGTGTGGCCCGATTAGGTTGGATGTGTGTCTGGCACGGTCGAAGCTGTTTTTGAACGCTGCCATTCAGCAGCTCGGTCAGCTCCGCCCCTCATTGTTTGTTTTTATCTTGTATGTTAGAAGCTCATCCCTATTTTCTTGCTTTGTCTTATTAATACTTTCTATTAGATCTGTCTCTGAGTAATTTTTTTCGATAAATTTATTTTTTTAAACTTCTGCTTGTTCATTAAAATCTTCTAATTCGGTGCAATTCGTACATAGACGTAAAAACTGGCTTTTGGGGGCACTGTCAAGCCAATATTTGTAGTGGCAATTAGTTCTATCGATAGCCGTATTTACACAGACTTTTTTAAAGAATGTTTTAGTTTGTATTTTCCCATTTTTTATAAATATATTTAAATCTAGGAAATTAATTTGTTCCCTACTGAATTCATGTGTTAAAATTATACCTCTATCATTGGTGTTGAGTTTGTTGATAAAAGAAATTAGGCTATCTTCAGGTCCATCCCAGATAAAAAAGAGGTCATCGATGTATCTAAAATATGAGACTAGGTTTGCCCTCAGCATGTTGGCATCATAAATAGCTGTGGATTCCCAGTCTGCCATAAATAAATTCGCATAGCTGGGGGCAAACCTAGTACCCATAGCTGTACCTCTCTTCTGAAGATAAAAAGAGTTAAGGAACCAAAAATAATTATTTTTTTAAATGATATTAATGCCCTCTAATATAAAATCTATTTGTACCTTAGGGATTCTATTTTCTTTAGTTAAAATATCTTTACTAGCTTTACACCCTATATTATGAGGTATAATGGTATAGAGGGATTGTACGTCACAAGTGACTAGTATAAAATTAGGGTTCCAATTAAAATTATTCAGAAATTTTAAAAGTGACATTGAATTTTGCAAGTATGAGTTCATTTGTTTAACAGAGGGTTGGAGAAGAGTATCTATATAATGCGAAAGGTTACAAAGAAGGGAGCCTATACCTGACACTATTGGTCTACCTGGAGGTATCTTATCATTTTTGTGTATTTTGGGAAGAAAGTAGATAATGGGGATAATAAGGAATTTCTTATTTTAAAAAAATTGAACTAATTTTTATTTAAAATACCTAGGTCTAAACCTTTTTAAAAAAAAAAAACAAGATAAAGTGGTTTGTATAGTATTAGTGGGATCTGATAACAGTTTTTCATAAACATCGTTATCATTCAATTGTCTATGTGCTTCCTCTATATACATAGTACTGGATAAAATGACCAAGCCTCCTCCTTTGTCTGCTGGTTTTATTACTATATTGTTATCATCTTGTAATTCTTTAAGTGCTTTCCTCTCTGCATTTGTTAAATTATGTGGGTCATATTTGTTATTCTGTATTTTTTCAAGATCTTTTGTAACTTGTTTTTCAAACATAATAAGTGGAGCTGATTTAATAAAAGCAGGATAAAATTTGGATTTTTCTTTTAAAGGGGTATTAATAATTTGGCTGTCCTGAGAGGGGCAAGGAGATAAAATAGGATTTAGAATAGGATTTTCATTGTTTTTTTCAATAAAAAATCACTTGAGAGTGGCTTTGTGGACAAATTTGTTGACGTCAATAAAAGCTTCAAAGGGTTTAAAAGAATTTGTTGGGGCAAACTTGAGGCCTTTGTTTAAAACTGACATTTGTGCGATAGTAAGGGTTTTCTGTGAGAGATTAAAAATGCCACTACATTGTTCATTCTGGGTGTTGGTCATTGTCTTTCTAGTCTTTCTCTCTTGTTCACGTCTGCCACTTCTTCTTCCTCTAAACTTAAAATTCGTTTTTGTGACCGTGATGGGTGGGGAGTTTGGACTAGTGTGTAGGGGTGAGTGCGGATCTCTAAAAAATGATCTTCGTTTTCGAATTCTGAGTCGATCGACAGTAGTTGATATCTATTTTGGTGATGAGGAATGGTGGGTGATTTGGGGTATTCCTTATGATCATTAATGTATCTTGATCTTTGGGGTTTGGGTGAAAAATTTCTTCTATTAGGGTTGATAGTGTGGTGATATTTATTGGGTGGTGGGGAGTGTGTATTCCTACGATTGTGGTGTGATTTTGCATGATATGGATAGGTATTAGATTGGTGGGATTTTTGTAAGGGACCAAGGTAGCTTGAGATCTGAATGGTCGCTTGATGTGTGGTGAATATTGGGGTTTCCTTGAGACATAATTTTGGTATTGTTGTGGGTGTTGGTCATAATGACGTGTTTCAGTATTATATCGTCTAGGTTCGTGCTGTGTTTCTGATCTTACATAGTTGTTTTTGTTGTGATGATGGTTGTATTGAGTGTGACTTTTTGTGGTATATCTTTTGTTTAGATGATAGGTCCTTACTTGTTTATTCGAATAGTCTGTTTTGTCTATGATATATTTCCTAATTTTGATATGTTTTGTGTCTTTTTCAACTTTTTCAATCTTACTTTGGATCAGTATAGAGTTTTGTTTATAGGCTTTGGTCTCAGTAAAGGGTAATAGTGTTTCCCTGAGGTTATTAATCTCTGAATCTAGGATGGATAGTTTTTTATTTTTTTTAACTATTAGTGTCTCCATTAAGCCAAGAGTACATATTTCTAATTTATTATTCCACTCTTCCTTAAATTCAAGATCATCTTGATCGGAGGTGGGTAATTTTAGCAACCTTAGACCTCGGGGAGTAATTTGTTCATCAATATTTTTTAACGTAGCTATTTCCCATTTCAGCTTTATCTCAGAAGTAAGAGATCTTTCTAGTTTTGTAAACAATTCTTCTTGACTAAAACTAGGATAGTTAATTTGAATTGGACTAATAACCTCTGTGTCAAAAACATTTTCAACATCAATAATGTAATTATTTCTAAAATCAAAGATAGACATAGTAAGAACTGTTAAAAAGCTGCCAACTCTAGAGGGAATAAAAGCGATAAAAATAAAAGGGGGGGAACAGTCAGCGCTAAATAACTAGAATATAAAGCAGCAACCCAAGTAAGGGAATCCCTCAAAACCCTTAATAAAATAAGTAGAAAAGATGGAGGTAAGGGCTGTGCTAAAGAGGTCTGTAATTATAGACTAAAAGTAGTGGAGACCAGACAAAATGGTAAAATACAAACCTATATATATATATAGGAGATAATAAGGGAAAGTCTCACTTGAAACAACAGAATAAAAAACAAGATACAAAATAAGTGAACAGAATCAAATTAAATCAGTCCAAATGATAAAATATAATGGAGGTAAAAAAAGTCTAGAAGAAAGTCTCACTAATATGTAGAGTAAAGAAATGGTACAGTCCTCAGGAGTTGATCTGTCCGGATTGATAAAATTTCCGTATATGTGGAGACAAAAATGGGAGAATACGACAAGCAGCCGATAGCATAATATTGTAAAATCCAAGGTAAAATAGATAAAAGGAAAATAATACACTCACATTTTTGAGAGCTATTAACCATCTCTGGGATGATAGGCGTGTAGCGGTATAATCCCCGCTACAGGATATATGGGAGAGGTACGTCTGTCACTCCGGCTTGGTAGAATCAGTGCTCCAAAATAAAAGTAAAAGACAGCAATAGTGCTCTCCGTTTATAGGAATAGGAAAATAAAATATATATAAAATATACTCACAAGAGTAGAGCAGGAGGTACTGCTCTATCAATACAGCATTGGTGGAATGATCCCCACCTAGGATATCTTGAGTCAGGATACAGAGGGTGCCAGGAAGAGAAATTATAAAAAAGTGCATATAAAATCTAATAAAATGAACATTGGTCCTTGTAAAAGGGATAACCAAAAGACTTTTATTGTTTAAAATGCACATATAAAACCATTAATGTGTTTAAGGCTTTATCAAAATGGTATATGACATTATTCCTGGCACAGAGAGTTTATATAAGCATATGTAAATTTAAGATTGGTGCCAAAACTTGGATCAGCCAATAGAGACAGATTTTCAATAACATGTATAAAACAAACAATAGCACGTATAGTTTGATAGATTAAGCAAATATGAGCTAGATAGTATAATTATATATTAAAAACGAGGTCTGGTTAGTGGAATATTAATACAAATAATTGCATCACGTAACCGGCATTATTTGGAGCAAAGCTCCATGGGTAATGTAGTTTCGCCGGTCGGCTTTAGCCGGCAAAAGGGGGGTGGAGTTAAGGAGTGTGACGAGCAACTAGCTCGCACCAGTAGTCGATAAGACTACAAATACAAGGGTAGGGGCTGGGAGGGAAGCGGCGAACAGTGTAAATATGCCGCTCAGAAACCGACGGCAACACTGATTATTCGTGCCTAGAGTGATACACACTGTATATCATCTCCTGCAGCTATAATATGCTAATTATATGACAGTAACACTTAAAACTCCACATCCCCCCAACATCCTTCCCGTTCCCCTAAATTTAACCCCTCCAGGTTAACAGTGTGGGGATATTTATGGGATAATAATAGTAAACAGTGAGAATTGCCCACCAATTCAATTCTCAGACCCCAAAGATCGTTATCGTGTTAAGTGAAAAGTATTTCATATAAATAAATCACAATTTTGTTATAAAAATAGATTTTATTTTATAATGACAAATTAATTAATAATAATAATATGTAACATGCGTGACAATAATCAATGAATATCCAGTATAAAATGGTATGCAATACAAAGGAATGGGTATACACGTTTCAATGGCTAAACAGCATTTTCTGTCAAGACTTACACGATTTATGACTATCTTTCACAGAGAGAAAGCGAAGCTTTTCACAGCGAAGGGCCATAAAACCCTGGCTAACAGTTAGAATAACCCTTTCAATGCTGGCTAGATCTTCCTAGGTAATTAAGATCTATTCTTATGTAATTTTTAAATAAAATAACATTTAAACTAGTTCATTAGTCATTTCCTGGAACCATCCAATAAGAGAATCTACCATATTTTTACAAAAGCAGAATTTAATTCGCCTAAAAAGATATCTTATCTTATTTTAGAGCAAATCAATACACCTGGATAAAAACAGCGGTATGCTAACATGTGATACTATCACATTAATATATAATTATTCTTAATTCCACCTGCAGAATGGAATGTTTATAACTATATATTCTTTAGTTAACTAAGATTTCTAAATATGGAAATCTGACCGTGCTTTATCCAGTCATATATCATGCTATTAGTACATTTTAATTAATTTAATTAATTAAATGAAACCAGTAAAATTCCCAGTTAAGTAGATATTTCATCCGATTGGTAGATAGTCTCAGGAACTTATTTGGATGTCTGTAGGTGCATGAGTTATGGTGAAAGGTGGTGTTGGTTAGAAAGTCAGTAAAATTCTAAGTGTTAGAGTTTTAAGAGTAGAGTGTTAGTCTCAGATGTTGTCCTGGGTTTCTCTGCATGTCCGAGTTGGAGTCCCCAAACTTCCAATTCCTCTCTCTGTCTCCTTTTTCCTTCTCTCAACCCTCCTGTCTTCCCTTTGTCCTAACTTTTTAAAGGGCCAGACTCTCTGTACGTCATCAGTTGATAACCCAATAGAAGCACTAGAGGTGTGCTTACCTAGGGATCGCAATTTAGGTATTTGATCTATAGAGGGCAGTCTTGTCCCACTAAACATTCCTATCCAGGAAAGAGTTAACTTTTCTTGGTGGCTATTTTGACGTCATTTTGGCTTATCTTTATCGTGGCCATAACTTACGTTTTCTTTCACTTCAAAGGGTTTTCTCTTAGTTTTGTCCAGCCTTAGTGTCCGCAATTCCTGCTATAATTTCTAAAATGGCAATTCATGAACTATGTTTCACCATAAACTTACAATGGGGTCTTGTACATATAGAAAGTAAAATTTTATTATTTAATCTCCTCTGTCACAAATGTCTGGGTTTAGAATTGGTTATATTCCATTAGCATTTAGACAGTCTGTCCAACCGTCCCCGTACCCCCCCCCCCCTCGTTCTCCTTATCACTTGGTTTGTATATACTATGCATTCCTTTAGCTCTGGGAAAGTGGTTAGTTTTACAGATAGGATAGAAATTTCGTGTCTCTTTGTTAACTTGAAAATAACAAAATGGAGTCTGGTCTGTTCAGAGTCAGAATATACACTTTTAATTTCTATCATAGCACAAGATGTCTGCCGATATAAATACCCTGACAACAGCCTCCAGGAGAGTTGGAAGTTCATGACCAGGAGCTTCCATTAGACTTCCTGAGCTATTCCCTGAGATGAGAGTGTCAGCAGATCACTCTCAGTCAATGAGATAAGCTCTGCAGCACCCAGCTTAGCTCAGACAGAAAGCTTCTGGCTAGAGAGCGGGCAGTAATAGAGGCAGTGAGTTTGCATCCAGAAGACTCCAGGTAAGAAGTCAAGCTGTTCTAAAACCGACTACTTACATCGGGTGGGCTGCACAGCAGTCCTGATACCTTCACTACAACACACTGTAGTGTTTGTGGTGCTTGGAGTGTTCCTTTAATTTGTAAAAAAAAAAAAAACTTTTACTTTAATTGTAGAATATCAGTGCTGAGTTTTGGGACTCATGCATGCAAAAAATGAATGTCTGTGGGCAAGCACTTTCTGCTGCTCATGGTAAGTTGGATCCCACTGATGACAGAAGTCTATCTTTCTTTTCTAAATATAAACACATGCAAGAGATTGGTGAGCATTGATAACACTCTTTTCTCTCTAGGTCTCTTATTCACCTAAAAAGAAAAACTTTTCATTTGCCAGAAAGAAAAAGAAAGCTGAGAACAATATTAGACACCACTCCGAATATTCCGTTGGAAAGCTTCAGATGCAGGTTTGTGTTTGGGTTTTTAGCATGTAAAGGAGGGACTGGACATGTTGAAAATAAATAAAAAAAAATAGAATGTGCATAATTACAAACTGTGTCAGACAAAGTAGTTTGCCAAGTGATTTATTTATTATTATTTTTGGCATTTCTTCTTTAAAATCAGTGTAACAAGACATTTTTGGATCATATTGACTATGTAAAAATAAAACAAATAATATCAAATCACCTGACCCTTTTATCTGTTCCATATTGATGAATAAAGTCGTTTGATCATTTTGATCACTTTTCAGTCCCCTCATTTCTGTTAAAGACAGGCTATATACCCCCAGTTAAGCTTTCTGTGCTATAAATATCTGCATGTACCTCGTAAGACTGCCAGCTGGTGATGGCACACTTTTTATATTGATTCCATATAGGTGGATGATCTTATAGAAACACTTGCAGATAAGACAACAAAACTCTTGGAACAGAGACATGAGGAGCTTCGACAGTGTGAATACCTGGGAAATGAAATCCTCCAGTCAGCAAAACAATTTCAAAGAGTCTCTAAGAAGAAGACAAGGAAATACAAATTTAAAAATATTTGTTTTCCTTGCATTTGCTGTTGCTAATAGGTACAGTGTGAAAATTGTTTACGGCCATCTATGGAACTATTGATCTTGCCTATGCAATCTCACTACTCCGTTGCAATTTTGTAGTTAAATCATTTTATTTATTCGGCCCTAGTCACACCTCCCTTGGCTGTGACTCGCACAGCCTCCATAACAAAAATCATGTTCAAACTGATCTTACAGCACAATGTGTTTACTTTAGAAGTTACTCTGTTCTTTTTTGATAATTGAACTTTATTGATCTCCATAAAAAGAGTATGATACGGAAAAAAAGGGATTGGAAATTATATATAATAAGGGAGTCACCTCATGTTGGTCTATTACAAACATAGCAACTCACAAAGGAACACCGTCAACATTATATCAATTAAATCCAAGTTCTCTGTACTAATAGCAACCTGGACATGTATACCAGACCTCCATAACTTTCTTCAGTATATTCCATGTCTCTGCTTATTGAACTGTCACAATCTAATCCCTCAACTCTCCCATTGGGCATCTCTTTTAAGCTGCTGCTATTGTAGCACCTGATCTCCATGCACTCCACAACGACCACTTTTCATGAAAAGTTTTGTCGGTGTGTATATGTGCATTGGGTCTCATGTATATTCTGGATGTCGCCTAATTTAGCTTAGACACCATGGGTTGGTTCAGGGATATCCACACCTTTGTTATGTGTTGTTGCACTGTTACTATAAAGTGTAGTATTAATTTTATAGACGCTTTTGGATACTCCGATACAGGAGGTATGCTTTAGGTGTAAAGGTATATGTAATACCGGTCACCTCAATATTTAAGAGCCTCCCAAATGGGTCCAACATTAGAACAATTCCACCAGATGTGAATCATGGAACACTCCTTTAGACACAGTGAAGAAAATGTTCGTAATCTGATAGTCACCATATACCATCTATATAGTGTTTTCATATGCTATTCCACCAATGCTGTGGATCGTCCTGTAAGTATTCTTGCCCGTTGTACTGGTGAAATTTCAATTCGCAAGTTTGATTCTCAGCTGTGGGCTTTGTGTGACTGGGAAAAAGGCAGGTGTGTGGCCATTAGTTTGTAGCACATGGAGATGGGTTTGCATCCTGGCAGCAGTTTTCCGTTGATACACGTCTGTTCAATAGGCAAATTGTGTGTGTCCCCCCCAATACCCTTGTCTTTTTAATCCTATAATCAAATATTTAAGTTGCAAATAAGAATATAGAGAGCTTTGAGGGAGGTCTAGTTGTGTTTGCAAGATAGTAAAATCCAACAGGGAATAACCTTTTGCAATGTGATATATAAATGTGGACTCTGGGTTAACCCATTATCTTGTGGTTAAAGGTAAGTAAGCGGTATGTTAACGCTGAAATCAGTGTGGATAAAGATGCATTCTTGCAAGAAACATAATATTCAGTTATATAATTTTTCAACTGTGGGGTGATATCTTCTTGATCCAGGGATGGGTCTGGTTGCCATTCTAGAGGGAATTTTTTTCCTGGTTTGTTGCAAAATTGAGGTGCTTCAGGCTGGGTTTTTTTGCCTTCTTTTAGATCAACGGCAAAAAGCAAATGGGAGGAAAGCTGAACTTGATTGACACATGTCTCTTTTCAGCCTATGTAACTATGTAACATTGGAGCAAATTAAAGATTAATATTTCTCCCATATATTCAAAGTTAGTATGATTAATCGGGAAGCCCCAGATAATTTGGGTATTGGCTTGGAAGCCATAGAAGTTGAGAAATCAAATGTGAATGTGTAAGATCATTTTTCGTAGTTACCCATTGGGGTTTCTCTGCTCATAAAAAATGGGGGGAATACCGAGGCTACAATGGCAGCATTAAAATAGATTTGTAAATTAGGTACTCCAAAGCACCCTGTTTAGACTGGCGTTTGTAAAATCCACAAAGCAGTTCTTGGCCCACGCAAACTTTACCAGTTCTGAGGCGATTTCTTTATTTGCACTTAGCTTTGCGCTCCCTTGTTCTATCCGCATGCCATTCAGGATTCAATCTAATTGCTTGTAAGATGGGTTCTAAAGTCATCATGTACAGAAGGGGTGAAAGCAGGCATCCCTACCTTGTTCCATTAATAAGGGGGGAAAAACGAGAGACAAAACATGCTTGTAAAACCTGTGCTTTTGGTGCAGAATACCATGCAAATATAACTGTAATAAAGTTAATTGTGAACACAAATTTCTTCAACACTGCTCTCAGCAAACTGAGAGCCAGAACGGGCCATCATGCCATCATGTCCAGAAGGGGTGAAAGCAGGCATCCCTACCTTGTTCCATTAATAAGGGGAAAAAACCGAGAGACAATACACGCTTGCAAAATCTGTGCTTTTGGTGCAGAATACCATGCAAATATAACTGTAATAAAGTTAATTGTGAACACAAATTTCTTCAACACTGCTCTCAGGAAACTGAGAGCCAGAACAGGCCATCATGCCATCATGTCCAGAAGGGGTGAAAGCAAGCATCCCTACCTTGTTCCATTAATAAGGGGAAAAAACCGAGAGACAAAACACGCTTGTAAAATCTGTGCTTTTGGTGCAGAATACTATGCAAATATAACTGTAATAAAGTTAATTGTGAACACAAATTTCTTCAACACTGATCTCAGGAATCTCCAGCTCAGGCAGTTAGATGCCTTCTCTGCATCTAATGCCAAGAGAAGACTGCCTACGCCAGAAATCTCAAGTTGCCAAACCATGTGTTGTCTGCTCCCTGCTGACCATTGACCATTAATTGAGGAAGCAATGACTGTAATATTTTTGCCAAGAGATTGGCATATATTTTCGTGTCAATATTCAACAACTATATAGGGCGAATTCTTTGGCATAAAGTAGGAGATTTGTCTAGTTTTGGCAAGGTAAAAACTAAGAGCATCTCCGATGGCAGAGTACCCGATACTCCTGTCTTCTGAAAAAAATTAAAGATGTATGGAGTTAGGACTGTGGCAAAACTTTTTATAATATAATGCTGAAAAACCATCTGGTCTGTGTGATTTTCCAGAGGGGAAATCACAACTAGTTCACTCGAGGGAGAAAGGTCTTGTCAGGCCCTCAATTTGTTGTGAGTTTAATTGTGGTAAATCTTACCTAGTAGGGATATTCCCAGGTCCTTACATAATTTGTATAACTTAGCATAAAATTTAGAATAGGTTGAGCCTATAGCTTGGGACTCCATACAGCTCTTCCCTTCTTGATCATCTAGGTGTACTATGCAAGATTGGACCTGTCTAGCTTTTAGTATCTAATAGTTTACCTGCCTTACCGCTAGTGCTCTGACTTTTAATCTTTGCAAATAATGATCTGTTTTTACTGCATTTGTAGCCAGCATACATTTACGAAGCTTTGCCAGCTTTATTCTGTGATAATATTCTTAGAGTTCCTTTTGAGATTTTCATTTTAGATAGGATTGCTTCTTGGATAAATCTCCCTATAACAACTGACCACAGAGTCTCCTCATTGATGTTGCCCATCTTATTAAGAGAAAAATACTAAGTCAAAGTGGAGTCATTAAACTGGAAGTCCATAAGAAATTTGTCATTTAATCTCTGTCCCCGAAATTGGAACGAGTCTCAAAGTTCCAATATCACTGGGCTATGGTCAGACCACACTATCGTACCTGTGCTACAGTTCATGAGTTGGGCTAAGGCTGTATTGTCGACAAAGAAAGTATCAACTCTAATAAATGTGTCATGAATATGGGATTAGTATGTGTAGTCTCTCTCTAACGGGTGACGTATTCTCCAGCCCATATAAATCTAATAATTTAACTATGCTTACTTGATATGTAATTGGCATTTTCTCTGCCCTTATGAGAGGTAGATGTATTGAGGGTTGGGGATTGGACAAAATGAAAGTCTTCGCACATTATAAGCCCCCCATTTTGTGCTAATGCACTTTGGCTAGAAAAGAGCTAAGGGCAGTTATTTCACCAGAGTTTGGAATGTGCACAGAAACTAGTGTGTTCTGAATATTGTTAAAGAGACTTATCAAGATTATTTATCTACCCTGACTGTCAGTTATTTTCCTCTGAAGTTGGAATATTATATCTTTATGCATACATATCAACATGTCCCTAGACATAGACCGAAAGATAGAGTGATATTGGGTGGGATAATGTTTAGTAAACATACAGGGATTTTGCGGACCTTTGAAATGTTTTTTTTTGTATACAGGCTATGTCTACTTGTTGATGCCTGATATTGTGCAGAAGAGATCTCGTTTTCTCCGGGGTGTTCAACCACTTGACATTAAATGGAAAAATGTAAAAAAAAATTTAGGTTGTAAAACAACCCTTATCGTACATAATGCAAAGAGTGCGAATAATCTGTAAGGCGAATAGATTTGTATATGTTGTGGACACCAGCGTTAAACCAAGTACCCCGATTCCAGCAAACAAAGCATAAGTAAACTGCAACAAAATGATATACAACATGATATATATCCACAACTCCTCAGACAGCGAGAGTTCCACTTTAAGACTGCTAATGCTGGCTCTATTAAATGGCAGAAATATGTCTCTCCTGTAAATATCAGAACACATAGGTCAACTTCAAATGGAGCAACCATCACAAATGTATTTTCACAAAAAACAGCATTATTTATCGATGTATTTATTTGAAATTGCGTTACTGGCCGTGAAGGGGTTAAAGAAGAAAAAAAATTCTCATTAAAAAGTAGCTCCTGCGCATGGAAGATGGCAACAATAAAAAACAATCAAATCCTTAAATATTCTGTGTGCTCTTCTTCACTAAAAATAAAAACCCAAATCAATATCTTTCTATGACTATGCCTGTGACGTGCTGAGTCTCGGAGCCTGCACAACACACAGAACTGTCAAACCATTAATCTATAACTCAACTCGCAGGATGTTCAACAACCAAGGTTAGTTTCTATGGGAATTGCCTCAAATCCTTGAAGATTATGGCAACCATTACAGATTTCACTGAAGAACAACTCTTAACTAGTGTATAAAAATACTTTGTTTGAGACTGTTAAAAGGTTATATATATATATATAGCAAGCAAAAACCAAAAAGGTTATGGTGGGGGAAAATTGTGATTGAAAACCCCTTCCACCTGAAGTCTGTGGATAGTTAATACAATGTTAAACAAAAATCTGCACCCCAGTCAAGCCATAAGACTTGCTTTTATTATTTCTGTGGGAAAAGCAAGTCTTATGGCTTGACTGGGGTGCAGATTTTTGTTTAACATTGTATTAACTATATATATATATATATATGTATGTATATAGTGACCGAAAGTAGGGAGATCTGTTATTTTAAAATAAATATTGCACTTGATATTAGTGTATGTTTGGGCCCTGAGGTGGAGCATTTGGAGAGTAGGTTGGGCCAGTGCTCCACTCCACATTTTGGAAGTTGATTGGAAACTGCAGGTGAGGAGTCCAGTTTCAACACTCTGATTAACGTCACCTGAAAAAGAGGGTTAATTGTAGGTGCTATTAACCCCTTAACGACGAGTGACGGACAAGGTCCGTCACTCAGGGGATTGCCATAACGAGGAGTGACGGACCTCGTCTGTCACCCGTTAAAATTAACCCGCGATCGCGGGGTTAATGGTGCTCCGGTCTGCCTCTGTATTAGAGGCAGACCGGGAGCACCCGATCTGGCTGCCCCAGCACATGTGGAGCGAGCACATGTGCTGCATATACTCACCTTCCGCCTCCCTGCACTTCCTGGTTCTGTGTGAAGTGCAGGGTGCCGGTAAAGTGCTGATCCTGCCCCCTGTTAAAAAAAAAATAAAGTTTATTTAAAATCCCACCCCCCTTTACTCATTTTAATTAAAAATTAACTCCTTCCCTGCCAATTGATCACTGACTACAGTTATCAATTGGCAGGGATTACATTTTACTGTTATCTGATCATTTTTTTTAACCCCTGAGGTTTAATTCTTTTTTTTAACCCTCAGGGGTTAAATGTATTTAATTAATTTAAATATTTTTAAAATTATTTATTTAGCTAGCTGGGGTGGGTGGAAGTTAGTGGGGAATTGGGGGATTTGGTGTTAGGCTAACTGGGGGTTAACGTTAAAAAAGTTTTAAAATAAACTTTAAAAAGTTAAAAATTAAGCTAAAAAAAGTTTTAATAACGTTTAAGTAAAAAAATAAAAAAAACACCCCCCTCTACTCAGTCCAAATATATTATTATATTATACTGTGATCTAATTTTTTTTTTTTAACCCCTGAACATTAACTTTTATTTATTTTTTAACCCTCAGGGGTTCAATTTATTTAATTAATTAATTTAAATATTTTATAATTATATATTTTGCTAGCTGGGGTGGGTGGAAGTTATGGGAAAATGGGGAATTTACTGTTAGTGCTGCTTACTGCTAGTTAGGATTTAATGGTAAAAAAAAAAAAAAACTTAGAAAAATGTTAAATCTGTAAAAAAAAGTTTTAAGAAAGTTTAGGAAAGTTTAAAAAAAATTAATTTGGATTATATAGCCTGGTAAAATACTCAATAATGGGACATGGGCACAGCGTAAAAATGTAAAGTTTGAAAAAAACTGGAATGGCTGTGTCCCAAATATGCCCCTCCGATGTCCACATATACCTGGCAAAGGTACATACGGGGGTATTGCTGTACTCAGCCGACATAGCTGAGCAACATATGAAGTATTATACACTGGTAGCACACATAAGGTTTGCAAAATATACTGTGCAAACTCACTTTGTGTGTCAAAAAGGCAGAAAAAACACTTATTACCACTACACTTGGTACAAGCTAGCAGAAAAATGATCCTACGCTAAGGTTCAAAATATACCTTTTGAAATACCCTGGGGTGTATACTTTAAGAAATGCTAGGCCTTTG